AAGCACTTATTCTACTGATTAAGCCCTTCACTGTCTTAATGTAAGAGAAAATAACTGCCACCCAGATTTGCATACTTCTTTCCCCTCATGTCTTTCATGAGCAAAAGTGAAATAGAGACATTTTAGACAAACAAACAAAAAAAATCTGTATTTGGTATAGGATCTCAATACACAGCTCGGACTCATAGTGATCTTCCTGTCTCACCTCCTCAGATTACAGGTGTGCGCCACTACACCTAGACTCTAGCTGGCTCAGCCCACCCTGTGAGCAGGGCTGGCATGTGGTGTCAGGGATCACATTGCAGTCCCTGTGCTTGCCTAAGCAGGCACTTTAGTCTGCTGAGCTATCTTGCAGGCCCCTCAGTTCTTTCTTTCTTTCTTTATTGCAGTACTGGGGATTGAACTCAGGTCCCTGCACTCGCCAGGCAAGCACTTATTCTACTGAGCTATCTCCCCAGGCCCTCTCATTTTTTTTTTTTAAAGTAGATATGTCTATCTTAATTTGCAACAGTAAATAGGAGATTATGCATTGAATCAAAGAAGAATCTTTTGGGAGGCCATGTTTTATCCCCATGCTATAGATCAGCAGATTTGTCGTGTGTGTGTATGTGTGTGACAGACTCTCGATAACTCATGATGCAATCCAAATTGGGCTGGAATCTTCGATCCTCCTGTCTCAGCTTCCCAGCGCTACAGCCATGCACCACCACGCCCAGCTTGGATTCCTGATGATCAAGTACAACCTCCTGCCTGCATCAAGAATGGTATGGTTGGGGCTGGTGAGATGGCTCAGTGGTCTAAAGCACCTACTTAGAACAAGCTTAGCAAAAACAAAGGCACCGCGGTTCAATCCCCCAGCACCACATGCCAGCCAGCCGCGCCCCCTGATGGGCTGAGCTGGCCACACACACAAATAAATAAATAAAAAAATTAAAAAAAAAAAAAAAAGAATGGTATGGTCAGGACCGGGCAACCAGCTGCACAGAAGACAGAATTGGTCAACACGAGGGGAAAACACTGTAAGAGGAAAGACTACGCAATTGCAGGGTGAGCTAAGAACACTGTTTACTGCACCAAATCTATTTGGCCACCGTGGGTGTGGCCTCCCAGAATTCTGAGCTGAACACGAGTTTGCCATGTTCCAGGCTCTATGGGGATTTTTTTTTTTTTTAGTTAAATGGACTGGCGATCAAACTCAGGACCTTGCACTTGCCAGGCAGGCATGTAAGCTGCTGAGCTATCTCCCCAGCCCTGGGCTTTGTGTTTTTGATGCTAGGGATCAAACACAGGGTCTTGAGAATGCTGGGCAAGTGCTCTGTCACTTAGTATTTCCCCAGCCCCCTAATGATTTTAAAAATATAACAGTGAAGTTAGGTATGGAGCACATACCTGTGACCCCGGGACTGTTGTTATGGTTTGATGTTCCCCCCAAGCCTCATGCAGTGAAGGGGCGGCAGGCTTCTAGAATTTGTGATTAATTCATGATCCAATACTGGGATTATGCGTGTAAGCACTACCCCCACCCTGAGGCTGATAACCTGAATGCAACATAAGGAAGGGAGAGGCTTGCTCTCTGGTGCTCTTACTCTTTTGCTGTTTTCTACCACCATGAGCTGCTGCCCTCTGCCATGTGCTTCCCTGTCTTGGAGCCAGCTGAGTATGGACTGAAACCACCACAAACTGTGAGCTAAAGAAACCTTTCTTTAATTTTGGGTGTCAGGTATTTTGTCCATCAACAAGAGGAAAGTAACCAAGACAACTGTGGAGGTTAAGGAGAGAGACAGAGAGACAGGGGGAGGAGGGAGAGGGGAGAGGGAAGAACGGAGAGGGCAGAGGCTGGGACTATAGCTCAGGGGCACAGCACCTGGCTGGCAAGCACAAGGTCCTAAGTTTGATTCCTGGTACCAGAAGGCAAACAAGCAAGCAAGCAAGAAAGAAAATGAAAATACCCAGGATTAGTGACCTAGTCAGTTTGATGTGCTCAGTGTTGGTGACTAGGGACACAGCAGGAGGGGGACGGAGAAGACACTGCCTCGGGAAGTCTGGGCTCCAGCCTTACTTACCACTTGCCACACTCTGATCACAGATGAGACACTGAAATTCTGAGGGCCTGTGTTACTCTTTCTTCTTACTGGGACAATACACCTGATACCAGAAACTTAGAGGAGGAGAGGTTGACCCACTCACAGTTTCAGGGGTTTGGTCCACAGCAGACTGGCTGCGAGGCCAAGGAGGAAGGATCTGGTGAGGTACAGCCGCTCCACTCCTGGCGGCCAGGAAGCAGCCAGGGGACAGAACACATTAGCCCCAGTCCTCCAAGGTAGTCCACTAGGGCACTGTGCCCCACGTGCCAGCTGCCTTTCCATTAGCCTGAGAGTCCTATCAAGCTGACAGCGAAGCCTAAGGGTCACAGCCCATTTATCTCCAAGTGGACATAAGCATAAATACATTAGAGGGTGATTTGGGGCACCGCTGATATATCTGAAATGAACTACAGTGGCCAAATCAATGTTGAAAGAATTAGAACATCAGTATTAAGCCAGACATGGTAGTGTATACCTGTAGCCTCAGCTACTTGGGAGGCTGAGACAGGAAAACTACTTAGGGCCATGAGTTCAAAACCAGCCTGGGCAAACGAAGGTGACCAAGTCTCAAAGGGAGGGAGGTTATTTTTTTTATTATTATTTTATTGAGAAACAAATACCAATGAGACACTTTCCAAGTTGGTTAACAGGACATTTTTAATAATTAACACATTGCACATTATTATCTTCTCAGCGGTCATCCACAGCACAAGAAGCAGCGAGGACATCCCATCCAAACACTGCTACAGCAAATCCTCCCTCTCACTGAACCAAGCGAAAGCAGCCGTACATCTATCCTAACTCTTCTGTATGTACAAATACAAAATGGTCCTTCCTCTGTATCCCCCTTCTCCAGTTCAGTCCTGTCAGAGACAGGCATTCTACTGTCATCTAAATATTATAGGTGCTTGAATTCAGCAAAACAATCCAACACAGTCCAGTAGTCCACAATAGTAGGGGGTTGTCCGCAAAAGTTGTTGACTAGAGCTTTTTACAGCTCAGCATATTAATATGGCTTTAATTAATATACCTCATATTTATACTTTTCTGCTAGGTGGTTAAGACCAAGATAAAGCAAGACCTATATAACAAGAAATGTAACTTTTGTATCTGGTTAAATATGATTTTTTATTTCATCTATTCCAGCTCTCAGCATTTTTTTTTTTTTTTTTTTTGTGGCAGTACTGGGAATTGAACTCAGGACCTTGAGCTTGCCAGGCAAGCACTTATTCTACTGCGTCATCTCCCGGGCCCCCAGCTCTAAGCTTCTGCATCACCATTTTTCACAAAGTGTGCGCCACAGACCACCAATTTTCCAGACTGTCAGGTGTTGCCAGAAATGAAAGGGTCCTAAAATGTGCAATAGATATTGTGAAAAAGGAAGATACATGTTCAAAAGGGAAGGGGAACTGTGGTGGGGGAAGGAAGGGAAAAGAAAAAAAATGGAGATAAAGCTTTTGTAATTAAGAACAGGAAGAGGAGTTGAAAAAAGAAATCAATTTATATCAGGAAAAAAGAATCAAGTTATGTATAAGGCCAAATTCCCTATGATGACTGGGCCTATGAGACAGGTCAGCAGACTAAGTGTCTGCTTTGGCAAGCACATGGACTGGGGCTTGGTCCCCATCCCGAATGCCATGCTGGCCCCCTCTGAAGGGCGTGCTGAGCTGGTGACCAAGTCCTGGTGACCAAGCCCTGCGACCTGAGTCTGAGCCCAGGTGTGGGACACACACCTGTAATCCCAGCGCTGGGAAGGCTGAAAACTGGATCACCACGAGTCCAAGTTGCATAGGAGACCCTGTACCAAATACATAAAATGAAAAAAAAAATCAAAAAAACAAAAAACAAATTCCCTATGATTGATGTGATCATTATGTATACCTAAATGTATCAATAAACCTATTTTTTTTTTTAAATGAACGGGTCCCTCTGGTTGCACTGATACATTTTCCTGTTCCGGTCCATGGATAATGACTCACCCAAAATTACACTAGCAGAACGTGGGAGAGCCAAGCCTAGAAAGCATACCCAGCTCCTAGCCTAGCGCTCCAGTCACTGGGAAAAAGACAGAATTAACAGATTACTGGCTGTTAGCAGTTTTTCTATTTTTCCACTAAAGCAACTCTGGAAAACAACCAAAGACTTCCTAATTGTTAAATCCAAAATTCAGACTCCTTCCTCAACCTCCTTCATGTCTGCAGAGACTGACACTTATTTCCCCGGGCCAGGTCTCTGGAAAACTTGGGCTCCTCAATCCTACAAGAAATCAGATCCTGGTCCTTTGCCCTTGACGCCTCCTATCTGCCAGTTTACACTAGTTTCCTCTTCCGGCCTCTGCTGCGCGAGTTTGTGTTCCACTGCCACACACACCTCTCCAGCTGGATAGCCTGCTAGTAACTCAAACACAGCTCGCTCAAAAGCAAATTCATTATCCTTCCACCCCACCCCGGGTCTCCTCCTGAGTCCTCTAGTTCGGTCATGCTCCAAAACTTTAGAAATGTTTCCTCCTCTTTCTCTTTGACCCTCCCGGACCTTCAGGGGCCAACTCTTCTCAATCCACAAAAATCTTCCCAAACCAACCACAACTTTGCGGCCCTGGTTGAACGTTTTTGTTTTGTTTTGTCTTTTTGTGACAGGCAGGGTCTTGTTACGCAGTCCAGGCTGGGCTTAAATTTACTCTGTAGCCCAGACTGGTCTCGAACTCACAACGACCCTCCTCCAGCCTCAGCCTCCCGAGTGTGGGATTACAGGCGTTTTCCTAGATCAACCAATAGCCCCTTACTTGATCTACCCAAACCGTCCCACATTAGGCAGTCAAAGCCATAATCTCCCCGCACGGATCCGGATGTCCCTTCCTTGTTTTAAAACACTGCACGCCAAGTCTAATTAAACAAGCGCCGCAGCCCCGCCTCCTACCTGACCCGCTCCCGCGAAGCCAGGTGCTGGGAGCCGCTCCTCGGCTGCTCCGCGGCGGACGCCCCGGAATACTTGGGGCGCAGAAGGAGAGGGAAGAAGCGACTGCGGCCTGGAAACGCGGGGCAGACGCGTCCTCAGCCAGCAGCCCGAACGTGACGACCCGGCTCAGCAAACACCTTGGTCAAACACTTCCACCACTTCCGGCCAGCCGGGCGCAGGGCTGGCGCGCACCGTGCACAGCGGCGGGCTGCTGCTTCCCCGCGCCGAGGCCGTCCGCGGAGCTCTGCAGGAAGCCGTGCCCAGGGCCGGGCCCTGCTACCCCCCGCCGCCCCGCGATGCGTCCGCACAGTTACGAAAGCTCAGAACTTAGTATTGGGACAAGCTAGTCACCAAACCCGAAATTGGCAGTATTAGGATTTCCTTCGTTGTTCTACTGAGGATTTTCTTCTGCACCAGAATCCAAAGCGGGACTCTGCTTAGCATCTAGTGCCTTGCAGTTTCAAAGCTCAAAAGTAATAAGTAAAGAGGCAAGGCCCGGGGAGATGGCTCAGTAGGATAAGCGCTTGCCTGGCAAGCTCAAGGACCTGAGTTCAATCCCCGGTATCGCAAAATAACAATTAAAGGGGCAAGAAAAATGGAAACGAAACAAAAGGTCTTTGAAATTCATTAGTTATGTTTCAGTGTCAGGTTTGTCACTGGGTCCTAAATCCCGCTCGTTCGCGAGTAGCGCTCCCGCCGCCTTCTAGGCGGCTGTGGAGGAGCGAGGTGGGAGCGGTGGTCTCAGAAGGAGATGACGGTGAGCGCAAAAGCGGGGCCAAGGGCGACTCAAGCGCCGACTCCAGCCCTAGTGACAGCTAGGGCTGAAGGAGCAGCCTGCGCCTACAGGCGGCCGCAGAGGTGAAGGAGGCTTCTTTAGCTTGAAGCGCTGAGTGGTTGGGGGCGTGGGAGCTGGGGGCATTAGGGCTACAGCCCTGAGCTCTCACTGCCCATTCATGCAAAATGAGTCTAGCTAAAAGGTAGCGCTTCCTTGGGTGCGCTAGGAGCTGGGAACTTTCCACTGGGGTATTGATTTGATTTTTTTTTTTTTTTTTTTTACCCCCGTAGGCCC